CGTTTGTAGAGGAGTTACGGACCTCTAACAGTACTAATTGACTTAAAGAAATTGACTGCTTCTGGCACTATTGACTATTGTAGGTAAGGCACGTGGTGAGTAAGGCACTTCACCATCCATCTTTTGTTGTCGATCCTTGTTGCTGATGATGTGAGCAACCTGGGCGATTCCAACAGATGAACGGGGGCGGGTCATATTAGGAAAGGGACTAACATAGTCCCGGCACCTACGTTTTCCTGGGTCGTTGATCCGACCATGTTGCTGTACTTCGCCTAAGAAACTATGTTTTGTAATGTATCACTTGGAGATCGGGCAGATTTGGAAGGAGAGCGCTTTTTGTCCTGGTCTCGCTACTGGACTCCTTAGTAAGGCAATACAGCGGAGCAACAATGGTCGGGCATTTCAAATACCATGTTGATTGGTAGGAATCAAGTTACGTTACCACTCGATAAGGCATCAGTCTGCGCGCGAGGAGTCTGACGAGCAGTCGTTTGTGCTTTTATCGAACCGCAGATGCAGCTGTCTTAGTATGGACCTTAGGAGTATTGGAATTTTAACAGGAATAGAGGATTTGAAATTGAACAATTCTCAGTACCAGGTATATTGCTATTGTTTTTCTACTATTTCAACTATTTTTTTTATTACTACTATTGATACCCAGCTTCGGGCTTAATGCTTTGATTTCAGGCACTTGTCGATCTGTCTTCGTCGTTCTAGCGTTTGGGATCATTAACTGCTCAGAACGTTTCCGACAGATCGACTGCGCTGTTGTCATACTAGGAAAGGGACTACAGCGTCCCAACTGCTGCATCTACGCATCTACCTGGCGACCGACAATGTTGCTCTAGCTACGCTCCATTGGTGTGGTCACTGTTCCGAATCACAGTTGGGGTTAACTTAAAATGGGAACGATGACGTGGACGGATTAGGGAGCGTTTCGTACAGACCCCGTTACGGGATGACAAAATTGAATCCATTTGAACTTTGTACGATTTTCACTGTAAAATGCTCTTGCATAAAGAAGCTCGTATAAAATTTTCGGGCGTATACATTTTTATAGAATCAGAATTTGTGAAAAAATAAATCCGAAACTGGTTTGGTATTTCTAGTGTTAAAGATAGTGAAATTGCAAAGATTCTTTCATAGGAAATCACTGTTTGAACTTCCTAAGGAATAATGGAAATATAAAATGTGAAAATAGAAAAATAAATTTAAAAAAAAATGTGAGGCGTTTCGTCCCAGACCCGCTAGACTCATCAGTATGGCTATTCTAGCCTAGTATGGCCTTATCTAAACTCTGAACTTGTCAGCGGGAATAAACTGTGAAATNCTGGACTCCTTAGTAAGGCAATACAGCGGAGCAACAATGGTCGGGCATTTCAAATACCATGTTGATTGGTAGGAATCAAGTTACGTTACCACTCGATAAGGCATCAGTCTGCGCGCGAGGAGTCTGACGAGCAGTCGTTTGTGCTTTTATCGAACCGCAGGTGCAGCTGTCTTAGTATGGACCTTAGGAGTATTGGAATTTTAACAGGAATAGAGGATTTGAAATTGAACAATTCTCAGTACCAGGTATATTGCTATTGTTTTTCTACTATTTCAACTATTTTTTTTATTACTACTATTGATACCCAGCTTCGGGCTTAATGCTTTGATTTCAGGCACTTGTCGATCTGTCTTCGTCGTTCTAGCGTTTGGGATCATTAACTGCTCAGAACGTTTCCGACAGATCGACTGCGCTGTTGTCATACTAGGAAAGGGACTACAGCGTCCCAACTGCTGCATCTACGCATCTACCTGGCGACCGACAATGTTGCTCTAGCTACGCTCCATTGGTGTGGTCACTGTTCCGAATCACAGTTGGGGTTAACTTAAAATGGGAACGATGACGTGGACGGATTAGGGAGCGTTTCGTACAGACCCCGTTACGGGATGACAAAATTGAATCCATTTGAACTTTGTACGATTTTCACTGTAAAATGCTCTTGCATAAAGAAGCTCGTATAAAATTTTCGGGCGTATACATTTTTATAGAATCAGAATTTGTGAAAAAATAAATCCGAAACTGGTTTGGTATTTCTAGTGTTAAAGATAGTGAAATTGCAAAGATTCTTTCATAGGAAATCACTGTTTGAACTTCCTAAGGAATAATGGAAATATAAAATGTGAAAATAGAAAAATAAATTTAAAAAAAAATGTGAGGCGTTTCGTCCCAGACCCGCTAGACTCATCAGTATGGCTATTCTAGCCTAGTATGGCCTTATCTAAACTCTGAACTTGTCAGCGGGAATAAACTGTGAAATATACTCTATTGTAACAATGGAATGATTGTCAGAATTAACATGGACGGAATATTTGACCCGTGCTTAGTTCCTAAGGCACGGTAGTGGACTTTTTTCCCGCTTTTCTAGCGGGCCCTGTCTTAGACGGACATCAGAGTAACATTGTTGGTCAATTCAAAATCCAGGGACGAATCACTGCTCGCGGTTGTGGCGTGAGCAGTTATTCGTGTTTTACCGAGCCGTAGATGCAACTGCCCAGTATGGCCCTTCCTAAACTATCTCACTATGTTTTTGTACTATTTGTTACTATGAAATTGACTTATGGGAGTCAATTTTGTGTACTGTTAGAGGAGATACATAGCTCTAACAGTACTAATTGACTAATAGAAATTGACTGCACCAGACACTATTGACTATTGTAGGTAAGGCACGTGGTGAGTAAGGCACTTCACCATCGATCTCTTGTTGTCGTTCCTTGTTGCTGATGATGTGAGCAACCTGGGCGACTCCAACAGATGGACGGGGGCGGGCCATACTCGATTTGGCAAAGTGTTCGCTACGCGGGTTAAGAGGGCTTTAAAGCAACCGATGTCGTTACGGAGGGCATCAATGTCATAATCTTAAATCAGGGGCTGCAGCTTCCATGCACTCAATCTGACTAGCTCCTTCAACATTGCTACGCTTTCGCGTTACAGCAGGAGAAATGAAATGATGGAAAGGGACTAACATAGTCCTTGCACCTACGTTTTCCTGGAGCGTTGATCCGACCATGTTGCTGTACTCTGCCTAAGAGAGGATGTTTTCTTATTGTCAATTTGCGTCTCATCGGATCGTCGATGTCGTCTTGGTCCCGCTAGTGGACTCCTTAGTAAGGAGATCTAGCGTGCCCTGACTTAGACGCGGACGGATACAGCAGAGTAATATTGTGTAGTCGGTCACTTCAAATTCCAGGAAGATGGGTCGCTATCAAGTTGCGTTACACACTCGGTAACGAATCACTGCTCTCGCTTGCACCGGGAGCAGTCATTCGAGTTTTACCGAGCCGTAGGTGCAGCTGCCCAGTATGGCCCTTCCTAAACTGTATCCCTGAGATTTTTATTATTGCTTATATATGGAATTGACTTATGGGAGTCCTGTACCGTTAAAGGAACTATACGCTCTAACGGTAGAATTGACTTAAGTAGTTAATTGACTGCGGCCCGGTACTATTGGCTATGTAAGGTAATTGACTTAATTGTAAGGCACTTGCACTTACTTAGTGTAGGTAATTGACACACCTGGCTATTGACTATTGTAGTGTAATTGACGTGCAAGGTAAGGCACTTTGTCCGTCGATCTGTTGTCATCGGTCCTTCTTACTGCTGATGCGAGCAACCCTGGCTACTCCAACAGATGGACGGTGCTTATATTATAAAAAGTTTCCATCATTAACGAGTTTGGTGATGAAACTCTTTGGCAAACGATTCGCTACGCGGGTTAAGAGAGCGTTAAAGCAACCAATGTCGTTACGGAGGGCATCAATGTCATAATCTAAAATCAGGGGCTGCAGCTTCCATGCTCTCAATCTGACTAGCTCCATCAACATTGCTACGCTTTCGCGTTACAGCAGGAGAAATGAAATGATGGAAAGGGACTAACATAGTCC